AGGTCCCGAGGCCATCTACTTTTCAGACGCCTCGGAGGGTTATCAGAAATAGAAGAGGAAGCAAGGTTGGAAACAAGGCGGTTCGGATGGTTCAGGAGTTTATTATGGAAGGATAGGTATCTGGATTGAGCTAAATGGGAAACATATGGTACATTAAGGTCGTTATGGATGATTTTATTTGTGACAAAGTAGGGAGTATTGAAGATTTTACGAAGGATTTTGGATTGTAGGGATTGGATACGAGAGGGATTTGATGGTTTAGTAGAGCCCCAAAGCTCGATCCCTAATAAATATTAAAAAAAATAAAAAAAGATATGTAGATTTGAGTTTGATTTTTTAAAATCATTTTCGCTTAAAATTAATCTCGCTCTTTAATCAAGAGGATTAAAAAATTGAGCAAACATGAAGTAGTCGTGAAGGTAGAAAAGTTAAAAGTGAAGATTATCGTAATATGAAAATAGCAGGATTTTTTTTTTTTATAATTAAACAATTCAATATTGTCATCTAAAAAAATGTATTCCGTATTTGAAATAAATATTGATTACAGAAAAAACAGATTGGTTCTTTACTGCAAACAATGTATTATCTATTAGTATTTAATAGTGCCAATGATTGTTATGTATTACTATGAGAGAAATATATTAAGAATGTCAGGTCTTATATCAAGTTCAAGTGTCATGTCATAAAAATTCCCAGCGTAGTCAATAGCCTGTTTTAGCGGCTTTGGTTCAAGATGTAGAGAACTCAACGATTTTTTTGTATGTGATTTTAATGTTTGTAATATATTATTAATTAAAATAATATATTTATACTTGATGACCCACTGGTGTATCTTTATACAGAATTCTTTATTCACTGGTCCATATTTTTTTCTATGAATTATCTACGCAAAATCCTTAAACAATAACTATATGCTCTCTCTTTAAATCATAATGCATATATAGCGAAGGGGAACGCGTTTTTTTTTTTTAACAATAATAATTATGGAAGAAAAAATAAAAGAAGGTGTTATAAAAAATAATTATATATATATATATATAAAGTATATACATAAGTATATACAAAGGGGATTCAGCCCGAAAGCCCCTCCCGTAGATTCGCCAGTGTATACAGCCACTAATTATAACTACTAAATGAATGATTCTGAAGGGTAATGTTGTATTCATGTAATGCCCAATAAAAATGATTAATTGAAAGCTTGTTTTGTTTTAAATTATTCCCCGCTTACTGGTTAAACATTAATAGTCAAATTAGCTTACGTCGGAATCATGAGGCGGAGTCATATGCGATTCAAATTATTTTGTAAGAAATACTCGCACCTCATAACGAATCAACGTTTTTTTAATTTAAAAAATAAAATAAAAACTGAAAAATGAACTTGGTTGGAAATTCACGTCTCATTTATCCTTTATTTCTTCAGAAAAGGGCACACGCAAGGCAATCCAAGCACCCTTTCAATAGAAATCGAAACGTTTATTCTTTGATAATTATTGAAAGAAAAGTAATACATTCTGCTAAAATCTAGAGTAGTGTTGCTCAAATGCGAGACCTAGACGAGTCTTGGTCTTGCACACTCAGTCTTGGTCTTGCCCAAGTACTTGCAGTTACCTATTATCTTATTACTATAGAGATATTACTGTATTTTATTGAGAAAAAAATACATTTTGCCTCAATTAAGAGCATTGAGTATTTGAGATATAAGAAACTCATTCATACAATATATAAAATTTAAAAAATAATAAGAAAATTATAACAAAAATATGAAAAAGAAATCTTACTAAAACAGATGAAATAAAACACGATACAACAAAAAAAAAAAAAAAAATGAATAAATAAGAAAAAAATTCATGCTTAATAAATAAATAAAAAAATAACATTCATGCGTATGTAATTTTTTAGAAAAGAGAAACCTAACTAAACCCATATGAAAAATTGGGAGATTTAAATGCAAAAGTATGTTGGTTATACCAATTCATTACATATAGTAACCAAAACTGTCAAGTATTAGTAACTATTATTTGACTACCTCCAAACCTACATCTCTTTTTCTTCTTTTATATCACCTTGATGTAAAAAAAAAATTGTCAAGTATTATTAACTATTTTCCCTTAATTGTTATTAAAAAAAAACGATTTTTTTTTTTTTACAAGCCTTGGTATTAGTCTTGCAACAGTCAGACGGGGCAAAGAAGTGCTAGACCAAGACCGATTTTTGCATGAGGTATTATGCATAAATTATTAGGTATTATGTATTATAAGGTAAATTATCAGGTATTATGAATAAATAGAAACTACCTATGGAATCGATAGTATTGCTAGCTGGCAGTCGAAATTATCGAAAGTTCGAGTTATTTGACTACCTCTAAACCTACTTCTCTTTTTCTTCTTTTATATCACCTTGATGTAAAAAAAAAAAATTGTCAAGTATTATTAACTATTTTCCCTTAATTTGTATTAAAAAAAACGATTTTTTTTTTTTACAAACCTTGGTATTAGCCTTGCAACAGTCAGACGGTGCAAAGAAGTGCTAGACCAAGACCGATTTTTGCATCAGGTATTATGCATAAATTATTAGGTATTATGTATTATAAAGTAAATTATCAGGTATTATGAATAAATAGAAACTACCTATGGAATCGATAGTGTTGCTAGCTGGCAGTCGAAATTATCGAAAGTTCGAGTTATTTGACTACCTCCAAACCTACTTCTCTTTTTCTTCTTTTATATCACCTTGATGTAAAAAAAAAAATTGTCAAGTATTATTAACTATTTTCCCTTAATTGTTATTAAAAAAAAATATTTTTTTTTTTTACAAGCCTTGGTATTAACCTTGCAACAGTCAGACGGGGCAAAGAAGTGCTAGACCAAGACCGGTTTTTGCATCAGGTATTATGCATAAATTATTAGGTATTATGTATTATAAAGTAAATTATCAGGTATTATGAATAAATAGAAACTACCTATGGAATCGATAGTGTTGCTAGCTGGCAGTCGAATTATCGAAAGATCGTGTTATTTGACTACCTCCAACCCCACTTATCTTCTTCTTTTATATCACCTTGATGTATCAAAAAAAGAGCAAGAATGAAACTGTGATACCCAACGGTTCCTTTTGATCCGTTGATACGTTGCGCGGCGGCAGAAATAAAAAAGTCCTGTTCGTAAAGGTTATAGCGTGGCCTAGTATTCCCAGAGCAGGAAGTAATCAGAGCAGGAAGATCCAAGAGCGGGTCAAGCGGGGGTCATCAGGGGTGAATACATTATTGAGCAAATTGTATCGAGGGGAATATATAATTTATCAGGTACAATTGCACGGTCAATGTAACATCTAGTTCCTTGTCCGTTGGGTATAACACAATCCCAGTATATGCAATGAATGCGAACGATCATGTAAACCAAACTTGACGTGATTTTTATTAAACTATGTATATGGAATTTACAAGCAAAGTATAATCATTGTTGGTACATCAGACCATGAATATCTTTGCCCATGTCTAGTTGTGTTTATACTGTTATATGAGTCATTGACAGAATGACTAGCTTCAATTTCAACATTTTTGAGTAAAGTAATTTTAGTGATATTTCTACTAGAAAACGTTTATGTTTACATCATTTAGAGTTAACAAACGCCAACTTATTAACATTATTCCAACATTTTTGAATAGATTAGTTCAATCAACCCATTATTGTCCAGAACTTTATTTTAATTTTTGCATACTTTTTTTTTTCTTTTTTAGAAAATATCAAACTATATATCCTAGCAGAGTGAAATGGGACTTGACTGGAAATTAATGTTTATTTAATAAATAACAGTATTCATTCATAATGTTATGTGAAAATATTGCCATTCGTTTCTGTAAATTTACGTGTATTCATTTTAATAGACGTGAATATAGCCCTTTTAACTTTTACAAGGAAGAATACGGCCATACTTATATTTACAGCTGTGTATACGAATTATCTATATTCATTGAGTAAGGAGATGGTCCAGGATGGCGGTCATAAAAAATACTAAAATAGTAAAAAAAATATTTTATTTCATGTTGGCGTTTTCTTCACCTTCTCTTTATGTCCATTATTTCTATTTTTCCCCCTTTTTCTTTGAATCATTCCTTGTGATCTGTGGGATTATATTTATAATTACGTATATTATCCATCCTCCTTATGAACAATAATATACAATAATTGTTACCATTTATTTATTCAGTTTAGGATCTTGTTACTTAGTTATACTTCATTGTATATAGGTATGTATGTGTTCTTTTTATTTATTTATTTTTAGGTTATCTTATTCTTATTTATTGTATATATATTGGTTTTCTGTATAATTTATTTTATTTATTGTACATAGAGTGTGAATGTGGTCTCAGTACACTATTATAAATGTCCTTGAGACAGATTGTAATATTTTTCAATAAATAATAAGCTTGTTAAAAAAAAGTTATTCTTCGTTTACTCTGTTTATATAGTTTATTGTTATTAATATTTCTATCTATTTTCTATCCACACTGTTCATAATTTTAATAAGTCTATTCACATTGTTTATATTTTTTATCTAAATATTATGTGACCTCAATTTCTGTATCCTTTTTTAACATGTATAATAATATAACTGAAACTGGCTATTGCCAGAACTCCGATATATGCTTATTTGCAAGATGTATCTGGGCCACTGCCACTTCAATCTTCGAGGAGGATTTGTTTATAAGGTTTTAATTAACAAGAAGTCGGAATTTCTTTTGGTACCGGTTTGGTTTCTTGGCTTGATTTGGCTCATAACTCAGCAATGATATGAAGTTATGTTAACCATAAAAATAAGTGTTTTGAGGGTAGACTTTAGACTACATTTTATAGTCAGAAAAATAATCTTGAATAAAAAGTTTCTAAGTAAAATTAAACAAAAAGGGATCTGTAAATTAACCAAAACAATTCTGATAATTAACATGAAATGAATTTTTTCTGGAAATAAAAATAAAATAAATACTGCCAATTAAAAGGGGTTATATATATATATATATATATTGTTACTGTTTTAACCCCCTGCATATTCTGACTCTTTTTCCTTCATTTGGCAGATATATGTTCTTCAAGTTGCTTCCGTGGGTCATTCGGTTCGTCATAAACTAAAGACATGAGTTTCCTCCAGAAGTAGGAAGTATAGAATAATTAGGCCTGGACTTAAGACCAACCACATGAGTGGGCAGCACAGCCCGATCCACTTGGCTGCATAATGGTCGTTGAGCCAAGCTGACACTTCCCGGCTGCTGCGAGCTGGGCATCCGTCCATCTGGAACCATCAGCCGGCTCTGTCCGCAAGAGATATGTCTACGAAGAGGTCGGACATCTGGTTCTCTGTGATAGCTCCTGAAAGATAGCCGAATTAGATCCATTCGCCTATATATATAACAATCGTAACAGGTTTTTCTCAGCTAAACAGCCTGAAAAGATAAAAAAAACTACTTGAGATATGCAGAAGCTCGGATATCACAGCGCAAATAGGCAAACCTAAATGCAATGCGATCCACTGTCAACAAGCAAGCCTTATCTTAAGCTACTGATACTCTTACTATAGTATGGTCGGATTTTCGTGAACCATTGTATTTCGGTGAATGAAAAGCCCGCTTTGGCGAAATGTCGCCGTAAAATATCCTAATGAAACACACACCCACCTCCTAGTGATTAATACCATTTCGGTATATATTGCTCCGGAGCAAGGTTTGATGGAGCCTATTCTCACATAGGTAGAAATAAGAAGAAGTTAACTACTGAAATGATATTTCTACTAATGCTAAAACATGGACAGATAACTTTCATTCCTGAACCGGTCACCTATATACCACAGTCATCCAGATAAGATAACGCACGCTATTTTTAGTACACGCGGTAGAGTTATTAAAAATTAATTGAGATTATTTTACAATTCCAATTAACGAAATAATAAAATAAAACAATCTGCTAAGTGGACCAGTACACAGCTTCCTTACTATTACAATTTTATACACAAAGAAATAAACTGGTGGCAAAAAAAAAACCGCCGAACCTTAATTGAAATTTACATTAAAACCGCAGTTTGAAGAAATATTTTTGAGCCTGAAGTAATAACTGGTATATTACTTCAATTATGACAGGTCAAAGGGGATAACCATGCATTAATCCTGTCGAGAAAATCTCATGATTCTCTCTAGGATTAACGATAAAAGTATTAAAACATATATTAAAAAAGTATTAACATAAAATGTGGACTTCATATCGGTTTGTATCCAGTTGCCTGTTCAATCGTATTGGTTTTGCTTTTGTGTTTTGTTTTCTTAAAGAACATTATTTCATTTGTATAAAATATTTGAAAGAGTGTAAAATGGTTTTGGATCTCATGGTAGTCACTCAGATTACTGCGTTAATTGAAAAGGGCCAAAGTCAGCGTTACACTGCCTGAGTCCACGGGCAGCCTAGAAGAATGGTTCAGCTAGAACTCCAGAAGTACTAGGAGACAGGAAACTACGCTAGGAGGCCGAGATCAGGTCATCCAAGAGTGACAGGTCCAGCTGAAAACCGCTTCATTACTGTACAGTCCCTCAGAAACTGTTATCAGACTTCAGTTAAGATTTCTCATCGAATGCGTATTACTCGGGGTGCGAACAAGACAGCGCTGGAAAGTCTTTCTGAACTCAACCTGCACGCTAGGGTTCCGCTTGCGGCTCTCTACTCACCGCAGCACACCGAGAAGTTCGCCTTCACTTTGGTCGTGAACAAGCTGCCTGGACAGAAGATGATTTACCCTCTATTTTGTTTTCTGACGAATCGTTTATGTTGCAGACGAAGTTCTAGTGTGGAGAAGACCAAGTAAGCAATTAGTTCAGTGCAATATAGCGGGAAGAGTGAAATTCGGAGGAGAGTCGGTGAGGGTTTTAGGTGGACTATGTTTAGAGTCAAGTACAGACCTCCATGTTTTCCGAAAGCTCAATGGACAGATGTGCATCACCGGCATCCTCGAGGAATATTTGTTTATCGCCCTTTGTACGGAACTGCCTATATGAGGTTAATGTCCGCGCCTTGGAGTCGGCAGTTCGTTATAATTTTTTTTTTACCTTTTATTATGATATTTACAACTGTATGAATTAGTATGAATACATCAAGTAAATTTGTAAAGAAGGAATATAATCACATGAAACATGCTTGTTGAGAAACTACCCATTGGTAGCACTCTAATAATTTGTCTACATGAGGAGATCACGAGGCCATCTTCTTTTCAGACCCCTCGGAGGGTTATCAGGAATCGAAGAGGAAGCAAGGTTAGAAACAAGAGGATTCGGATGGTTATGAAGTTTATTATGGAAGGATATGTATCTGGATTTGGCCAAATCGGAAATATATGGAACATTGAGGTCTTTATGGATTATTTTATTTGTGACAAAGTAAGGAGTATTGAGGATTTTACGAAGGATTTCGGATTGTAATGATTGGATACGAGAGGAATTTGATGTTTTAGTGGAGCCATTATAATTATAATTTTGTTTTTCTGTTGGGAAAGAAATAACGACTAAATTTAAGGTGCGCCTATTTTTTTGGCCACCAGTGTATAAACTTATAAACCAATGTCTGAGGAAAAACAAATATAATGTTTTAATTATTTATTTCGATATTTCAGAGAATACCCTTTCCAAATAAATAAGTATATATATATGTGTGTGTGTACGAAATTTGAATGGAAAAAAAGGAGCAACAAGACAAGAAATACGACAATAAGTAGTAACCTATGAGTAAATAGACTATAGTGGCTTTGCAACGCAATTCAAAAGGAAAGAATGGCCAAAATGCATGAAACCATACTCGATGAAGAAGGACCAAAAGAAGACCCAAAAGCACTTTAGAAGGTGCTGTTAAGGGAGTATTTGACAAGAGAGAAGTGGTTCGGAATAAACGTGGTAGACTGGTGCTGGCACGGTCGAGACTTATGGATCCGGAAGTAGCCCCCTCGTAGAAGAGGACAAGTTTAAGAAGAAAGGCTTTGTTGAAACCTATACAGGAACAATTTGTTTACTAGTCCCCACCTTTCAACAACCTCTAGACTAATTATACCGTAGTATTTAAATATACCAATGGAAAGGAAACTATTTTACCTTTCAATAAAAGTTGTCCATTGTCGGTATTACACAAATTCTCAACTCATCTCTAAATTCACATCAAATAGGACGTGCCTGAAAATCCTAACTATTATCAAACATAACCTTTTAACAGTCAACTACAGGATAGTCTTGGATAGTCCCTAATCGTATGTGTAATAAAATGTATTGACGATTCTTATATTTTTTCTCATATTCGAAATGTCGGAAAAAAAAAATTGCTCGCTGGATTTAGCCCAAAAAAATTTAGCGTAAAAACAAACCTGGTTTCATTCGTGCTCGATATTTGTATTTAAAGTTTCCACATCTTGGCCAGGTGTTAAGGCCATTGACCTGGAATAGGTCAGGTCTAGCCGGGAATACCGTAAAAACTTCCAATGACCATCCCCACACCAGCTACCCCTGGGGCATTCCCCTGAATGGTTTTGCGGCCTCGTGCCAGTGTATTCAACCCATATACGTCATTGAAATACACTGAAATCTATGTATTAGTATTTGTTGTTACCTTAGGAACAGACTTCAGGGGGGGAGGGAGGCAAGGGGGCGAAACTCCTCCAATAAAATAGTGAGGGAACGAGAAAATCGCTTCGTTCTCCCCCTCCCATATTTCGAAGAACAAAAGTTTTTTAAAATTAAAACAAAATCAAGAAAAATTGATCTAAATGAATGGATAAAATATGTAAATCAACATCAATTAAGAAAGTAGGAAAATACTATTAAATGGTTAATTTTGCAATAAAGTTCAATCATTCCATTTAAAAAAATGACCCCTATCTTGAGGGCCCACTTATAACAAAATATATATATATATATATATATATATATATATATATATGTATGTATGTATAAAGAATAGAATATAATAGAATAGAATGGAAAATAATTTTATTCTGGGACGAAGTCCCTTTAGAATAACAAAAAAGTACAGAAATTAAAATGTTATAAAAAAAAAATTAGTTATACATTCTATATACAAAATATATAAAAAAAAATCTATGTACAAAACTCTTGAAACCATACCAAGATAATTAAAACTATGTACAATGGTAAAATATAAATAAACCCTTTTAGAAAAAATAAAAAATACAGAAAAAAATAAATGTAAATTCTTCTTAACAGTAAAATCTGTGTTTTTGTTGAAAAAAAAAAAAAGTCGAATCTATAATAAGTATTCTAATAGTTATGAGCTATGTGTGAATATATTATTATAAATAATATGTAATTTTACATAAAAGGTTAGCTGGTATCTGACTGTTTTTGGGACAGGAATTGGAATAGGAAGGTTTTGAATGTAGAATGTCGAATTTTGATAGGAAGGGAATTCCAAAAATTAACAGAGCGAGCAATAAAGGAGTTTTGGAACGAGGCAGATCTGTGAGAAGGAATGTAAATGTCGGAAGGTCGAGATCTTGTGGAGAGGGAGTGAACTGAGGACTTGAATCGGAGAAGGTTGTAGGCGTAGGAAGGATGATTGTTGATGATATGATAGAGGAATGTACCTAGGAAATATTGTCTTCGAATGGAGGGGAAGAGCCACTCTAACTCAGTGTTGAGGTGAGAGACATTGTTATATATACAGAGTGTTTCGTAATAGCACAGCACTATTTTAGATATGTGTTCACTAACACAAAATAAACAAAAAACTTCATATTAACATATATCTCTAACAGATATATATATATATTTAATAACTCATTTATTAAACAGATATCAAAGATTAAAGGTTTATTATTTATATACTACATTAAGACTGACTGTACAAATTTTAACGTGTTTAATACTAAATAACAGGTTTTAATTACCTGATAAACAAATGAACGATAAGCAATGACAGTAGTTGCTCATCTTTTGGTCTAGTTCTGTGTGTTTTATTGTGAGTGAATACTGTGACACAGCTCAATTTATGATTACCTTGAGAGATTCTATGTACCTCCCCAAAAGTTAAAAGCATGTCTGTTTGTTCTGCAAAAGTTAATAAATTTATGGGGTCTCCCATGATAATCATAAATTGAACTTTGTCACAGTATTCACTCACACTAAAATACAAAGAACTAGACCAACAGATGAGCAACCACTGTCACTGTTTATCTTTCATTTGTTTATCAGGTGATTAGAATTTAGTATTAAACACGTTACACTTTGTACAGTCAGTCTTAATGTAGTAAATAAATAATAAATCTTTAACCTTTGATATCTGTTTAATAAATGAGTTTGAGATATATGTTAATATGAACTTTTTTGTTTATTTTGTGTGAATGAACACATACCTAAAATAGTGCTGTGCTATTACGAAACACCCTATATATTAAAAATCAGCA